TTTGACAGATATTGCGCCAATGTGAAATTAGTGAGTCTATATGAGAGGATGAGAGTGAAAGAGTCAAAATGTAATCCAGGGATCTATATGCAATACAAAACAGCGATACTAGGGGGTCTATGAGCAATTAGTCACTGAGACAGCAATAACTCAACATCCAATTTTGCTACATGTATACAGGCTAATTTGGCAAGCTGGGAACCTCCACATGGCCAGTTCCTACTGGAGCATGCTTGGCAAAAATACCTGATAATTGGAGCAGCAGTGGTCAATTGTGCCTGCTGTATTGATGCCCTCTATTCTTACATGAAATCTGAAGTCCAAACTCAAGTTAGTATATTAATTATCTCTAGAATTATAATTTAAACCAATATGTCGGTTGTAAAACTATGTGCATATGGGTCTTTTTTATTTTCAGGCACCTGAACATCTGAAGAAGAATCTGAGCTTTGCCTTCGTGAGATTGAGTTCACAGTCCTCGGCCGTATTAAATGAACTTGCAAACTCAATTAGGTGCATGAGGCAGTCCACTGACATGGATATGCTGATCAAAGACATGAGTTTGGCTTTAGGAGAACTTCAGATGGTCTTAAAATCTCTTCCTAATGAAATAAGGAAAGGGCAAGATACATTATTTAGCATATCATTAGTTGAAATCATGCCCCTAATTGCGATTGCTTCCCAGTTGATTGAGATATCTTCGAGGATTATTGCACTTGTTGATGCAGTTAATGACCTCGCAGGTGATACCTTCTATAATCCTTCAAGCAAAGAAAAGTTATCTAATGTCAAAGGACAAATCTGAAAAATAGTATTAATTCCAGGAATCTTTGAAGGCTTGAGAAAGCTTCTGCGTCATAATTGGGAATATTTGTTGTTTTGTTCATTATTTGCATCAAAACTAGAGATCATGAAAATAAATGTCTATTTGACATACATGTTTCCAAAAGGTAATGCTTGATAGCAAAATAATTTGATGTATACATGCGCACACTTTTGTTAATTTTAAGTTAAAGACTAAAAAAAGAGTATTTCCCTGCAATCATATAAAATATTGGTAATTTCTACTGGCAATGGATTAAACATGAATCATGGATGTAGGATTATATCAATATCTTGTTGAGTATAATTTAACTGGCTGAAAAAGTATGATGAATACAAATATCCAAAATTTTATGAAAGTTTGATTGCATTGGTCATCAGGATTGAAATATTTTCTTAGTAGATGCAAAGTCAACATCATAAAAAGAATAGGACCTTGTTCATCAACTTGACCAGAACTCAAACAATAAAGTCTGCACCTGCACATTTGGCTGTTTAGTCTGCACCTGCACATTTGGCTGTTTAGCTAATAATTAGCATTGACTTTTACTATCATTAGCACATTTAGCTTTGTCCAATATACGATTAGCACATGCTCTGACTTTTCCCACAGTTAACAAACTTTATATCTTATTAATTAAAAAAAAACAGATTTTATGACCCAATTGTCATTAAGATATTTCATACTTGAAATCAAGGCATCCTTCCTTATGATGGAAACTTCTTCTTGCCAAGTCAAATGAGTAAAAATAAATATCGATGAACAATATGTAATCCCTGAAGCTAAGTCCATCCTTAGTCATTTAATTAAGGGTAATAGTCCCTTTCCAACCTAATAATATCTATAACGTAATGATACATATCTAAAGTCTGAACATTTAAGTATGAATTGAGCAGGCATGAATAGACTTGGATCAAGCCAAAGCTAATCTATCACGGTATCTTGGAGATTGAATGAATATAAAAGCAAGAAATTTGACGTGAATGATTCTTGGAGATCATTGGATCTAAAAGCAAAGGATTTGACGTTGATGATCCTTGGAGATTAGTGAAAGAAAAAAGCAAGATATTGATGTGCATGATTCCTAGAAGTTATTACATAAGCCAATTTTAGATATGTTGTATCGGTTTTAGCATGATTAAGGGTGGGGCATGGACTGGGCCACAAGCCGACCCAGCCCAACCTCTGTGGATCACAATCCACCCTGGTCCGATGAGTCATGGGCTAAGTTGGGTCTAGGCTTAGGCCCGGGAACAAACAAGCAAACCCAACCCGAAAAAGATCGGTCCACTATTGACCTGGCTTGGGCCTAGCGTGACCAGGCCTGGATTTTTTTTATTTTTTTATTTCTGCCTAGTCAACCAGCCTAATGAGCCCATACGCCATGACCCACAAGCATCATTCATGTCAGCCTCTCTTTTTGGTCGGATCAAGCGATATACATATTTAACTTTTCTTCTTTTGACGTGTCAACTTATATTCTCTTCATTCTACTTGAATACCAGTATAATGTTGCTTCAAACTTCACCAACTCCTGAACATTTACCTCTACAACTTGAGGCTTAAGCTAATAAAGGGACTCTCGACTAACTCTTCTCATTTCTTGCTAGGAAGACTAGCTTTCAGTTTAATACTATGAATCATCTACCTTTTTTTTTGTCATGTCTATGCCTAGGGCTATTCATTTGGGCCTGAGGCCCGGGCCTGGGTTGCCTCTTGGAGGCCTGTACTGGGCCCGACCCCAGTCCGGCCAGGAAGATGGCCAGGCTGAGTAGCATGGGTCTGGGTCTATCCCAGTCCCAATCTTGGACCCAACAGAAGAATTTTGACTGAGCTAGGTCGGTTCGCTTGTGGTCCAGCGGTCACAAATGTGACCATTGGACTGGGCTGCCTAGGCCGGCTTAACCCCGTCCCTTCCAAACAATCACATTTGTGATCGTTGCTCGGGCAGCTTGTGTCCAGCCTGGTGCAACGGTCATGCAACTGTCATATTTGTGACTGTTGCGTCGGGTCAGGCCTGGGTTGGCCCAGACTCGGCCCAGACCAATTTGACCAAAATAGCCTATAACAGCTATTTTTGGTCTTTTGACCAAAATATCCTCATAAATGGTCAAAAAAGCTAAAATTTGAGAGTATTTTGATCATTTGATTGGGGGCTGACTCTATAAATAGAGGGAGATTTTATTTATTTTCTCATCCAAAACTCATATACTTCTCTCTAATACTCTTTTATACTCTCTTATTCTCTCTTTCACTCTTTAATTCTCCAATCAAATGACTTCCTCCTCTGATTATGAAGGGCAAGTTTGGACTCCCGATATTAAAATGAGTCCTACTCCTACTCCTACTACATCTATAGCTACTCCTCCTACCGATGTTGATCCCAAATCCAATGGCGATGATCCTACACCTAGAGCTCCTAAAAGGCCGAGATCCAATGTGTGGAATTTTTTTAAGGAGATAGAAGTCACCAATGATCAACATGGTAAAATTCTCACCCAGAAGGCTAAATGTGCATTGTGTGGTCATATTTTCCAAGCTCATCATAAAAACGGAACCAACCACTTCAAACATCATTTAGAAAAGCATAATCTAGCTCAAGTGACAACATCACAAAGAGACATCCGTCAGTCTCTACTCTCCCAATTATCAATATCTGATAGCCTCGCTTCTTGGAGCTATGGCGCAATTAAATCCATGAGATGTGTCATTAGGTTTATTATACTTAAAAACATTCATTTTAAATTAATAGAAGATGATGAACTTGAGAATATGATTAGAGATGGTTTTTATCCCTCATTTAAAAAAAAATTCTTCAATCTTGTCAACGTGATATTTTAAAATATTATCACGAGGAACAAACAAAAATAATTTCTTATTTTTAAATTTTAAATTGTAAAATTTCTCTAATTTCTGATATTTGGATATGTAGATCACAAACTAGTTATTTATGTATCACAACATACTAGATTGATGATAGTTGATAAATATTTAAAAGAGTTATTTCTTTTATTACATTTGAATATTTACACACTAGTGTTAATATTGCAAATTTAATAATAGAAGAATTTTCAAAATTAAAAATTTCTAAAAAAATATTTTCTCTTTCACTAGATAATGAAAGTAATAATAATGTAGTTGTAGATCATATCAAATCATCTTTGTTATTGCCATGTCATGGTGATATTTTTTATATTAGATGCATGTGTCATATTTTAAATTTAATTATTTAAAGTATATTTAATAAAATTAAACCTTTGATAGAAAATGTTAGGATTATAGCTTATGCTCATAATGCTTCTGAACAAAGACTTAAAAGATAGAAATAATTCTGTAAAAGAAAAATTTAAAAGTCAGGTTAATTCCAAAAGATGATGATCATAGGTGGAAGTCCACCTATACAATGTTAAATGTAGCAAATAGAGTATAAAAAATTATAAATAATTTTATTGCTTTTTTATGTTTCTAGTTCTAGCTCTAGCTCTAGTAATATGTATGGAATAACTGATAAAGATTGGACAATTATATATAGTGTAAAGGAGATGTTATAAGTTTCTTATAATGCTACTATGTTATTATCTGGTTGTTAGTATCTAACTATTATTCAAAGTTGCTTTTTACAAGTTTTAAATATTTAAAAAAAAAATTATTACTTATCGTATGGATAATTATTTTGAAAATATGATTTCTCAAATAGAAAGTAAATTTAATACACATTTTAGGCTTATTCCTATTATTTTTTGTTTAGGGGTTCTTATCGATCCATGTTTGAAGGATGTTAGCCTTTAAAATTTGTTAAATTCTTTGTATAAAAACATAATAATAGACACTAATGATGGTCAGATTGGTACTATTCTTACTAATGATGGTCAGATTGTTACTATTCTTACTCATCATAACACTATTAAATATTATTTTTAAACATTATATGAGGAGTATGGGTAGATATGGTGTAAGTAAACATCAACCTACAGCTTCTGCTTCTACGAGTTCAAGCCGAGGCAAAGGTAAGATTTTTGATAAGCAATTAATGATAGCAAGGTTAATCGATAGCCATGGATCTGGATTTGAATCATCATCAAGGAAAGTTTCTAAAATTGAACAATATTTATACGCACCTTTAGTTAATGCTCAAAATAATGATTTTGATATTTTGCAATGATGGAGAGTATGTGAAACAGTTTCATATCCTATACTTTCCATCATGGCTCGTGACTTACTAACAGTGCAGGTTTCTACAGTAGCTTCAGAATCTGTCTTCAGCACATCAGGAGGTTTGATCGACGATCACAGAACATCTCTAGATCCGTCTACCATACAGGCGGTAATATGCCTACAAGATTGACGGAGGTCTGAGAAGAGAACTCAAGACATCGATCAGATGGCTAGTATTGAAGATTGACTTGATGAGTTGACAATAGGAGATGAAGACAAAGAGTAGAAATTAGTCAAATTACTCATTAATTTATAAGTTTTATTTCTTAGCTGTAAATTTTTGATAATTTATTTTGCAAAGAGTTACAAATGATAGTGATATAGATGAGTAGGTGCCAACCTAGTTAGGATGTATTCATATTGTGATGCGATAAATTCTAAGAAAAAATTATAATCGTTAATGATTTAATAATAAAGAATTTAATTTTTATCATTTTAATTTCTATGATATTTATATTTATAAATTGTAAAATTAAAAGTGATCAATAATATGATTGATTTTTTTTATCAAAAAATTGCATATTTTATTTCTAATTACTCTTGAAATTTTATTTTATTTTACAAAAAACTAGTTTTTAAGAAAAAAATAAAAATAAACCAGGTTGGCTCGGTGCCCGGCCTGCTCACGCTCGGGCCTGAGTCTGTGTACCCCTTTTTGCCTGGCCTGGACCTGGTTTTTGGGTTGGCCTAGCCCAGTTGGACACCCCTATCTATGCCGTATGTGAGAGAACTCTACACTACTATTCAACTTTCCGTACATGCTAAAA